TATTAGAATTTATCAAGTTATATACAGCCAGAAGATGATTTTAGGAATAGTGAGAGGGAAGAAGAAGAACATTATCATACTTTTTATAGGTCACTATTATCTGCCCATCTGTTTTTTTTCGAGTATACTTTTGAATTGCTAATACTTCACCATGTCATTCACCCATCAAATTAATAAAAGATTTTGTTTTATTAACTGTCTCAGTAGACAAGGTGTTCTTGGGTGAGCGACCAGTATTACCATGAGGTCAGGTAATATGGATTTATATTCTCAAATCTAACTATAAAGATTATATAATGCATATTTACCATATAACCAAAATGTTTTAAAGAAAGAACAGCAAACTCTGCCAAAATACGGAAGTAGATAATCCTTGATATAGATCTGGTTTTCGTGATATTTATTATAAAGAGAAGCTATAAGAATCATTATCAAATAGCATCTTTGATTTTTGTCCAATCGAAGACTTTCTAATACCAAGGATTGTAAAAGTCTTGGTACAACCTTTTTAATACAACTGTCTTTACATGAACAACAGCTTCTAAGTTTATCAATTAAGTTATTTACAGCTATTTAATCATTTTCATCAATTTCTTTACTTTTTTCGTTGAACTGATTAATTTTCTCAAACTCTTCTTCCATAGTATTTTCGCATTGGGAATCTCTATCTGATTCAAGAGTAGCAAAGTCAAGAGTATCAATAAAGTATTCTAAATTTTGAGCGTTGGTATTGGATGATTCCATTTTTCAATCGCGACAATTGGCTTTTATGAGGACAACTCATTTGTGTTTTATATAATTTTTTTAAATTAAAAAATTTATTAATTATTTTCAAGTGCAATTCTACAACTCAGTGTTGATAATGGAACTCAATGGAGCCCTAAATTGGAGGTGTTAATGATATTTCGACTAATTTGCGAAAATCTAAATCCCAAACAAATCAATCTACCATTATGCATGATAATTGTCTAGTCTCCTTACTGCAGCAAAAGATATATAAATGATTTTTATTTAAAATATTTGAAATTTTGGCATTTGGGTTTGATCTGTTTGACCATTGGGATACTACAGTAACTACTATTTTTAAAATTCGTGATACTATCCT